TTTAATATAATGTAATTTAATTTGATGGGGGCCAAACAAGGGCTTATAGATACTCTTTAAATTGTAAAATATAAGTGTTAAAGATAAAGAGACTGTTGGAATATTTAAAAAATTTTACTCTCTAAATTTATAGGCACTCCTTAAATTGTAAAATATGTTCTTTAAAAATAGAAAGCATCTTGGTGAGTTGAGAGTAAAAAATTTAGGTACTCCAACATTCTATTTACCTTTAAAACATATTTATTATTTCCAAAAAATATTTATTATTTTTTTATCTTTCATTTTCATCAGATTTTCTTAAATTGTCATATTATTTCCATCTATTGAAAATTTAAATGCTTTGAGCCTAGCCCCATTTTTTTCTTCCCTAAATGCATTTTGATGAAAAATGTGTGGTTAAAAAAATAAGAAAATCACTACAACAAAAGTAGGCTTTTACGGCATCCATTTACGGCATGCATTTTGGGAATGCCGTAAAAAGTCTGTTTTTAGGCATGCCTAAAATGCACACCGTAATAAATCAATTATTTAAAGTTTCCGTAAATGGTATATTTTTATGGCGTACTTTTTATGCACGCCGTAAATGGTATTTTTATTTTTTAACGGCGTGCTTGTTTTATGCTGTAAAATCTAAAGTTTTTAGGGCATGCATTTATGGCACGCTGTAAATGATATGTTTTTATGGCATACTTTTTATGCATGCCATAAATGATATTTTTAATTTTTAATTTTTTTAACAAATACGTTTACGACATGCGTGTTGTATGCCGTAAAGTCTAACAACTACTTTAATTTCCCCCCTAAAATATTCAATTTTCCCACTTTGAAAATTTTCATTCTCAAACATATATTTCCCTCTCCCACACATTTCATTTCCCCTTTCTAAAATTTTCAAATCCTCCTCTATATTCAAGCCCCTTTTCATCTACAAATTCCCATATCTTTTGGCCTGCACAGATTCGTTACTCAAATTGATTCTACTGTATTGAATTTTTTGAAATGAAGGCGGTTTTGAATGGTCTATTGATTCACGAGTATTTTAAGGTCCCTAAATCGAACAACCTACACACTCTCTGTGGAGTTATTCGCAAAAGAAGAAATCTTCAGATCCGATCTCAGCAGATCCGCACAAGAAAAGATGTCATCAACATTCAACAGCGATGAAACGGCACCGTTCTCAGGCTTTCTCGGCGCCACGGCTGCCCTAATTTTCTCCTGTAATTATCCCAACCTACAGATCTATGGTCAAAATACCAATTTCAATTCCGACTTCTCTAATTATAGCTACTGTTTTGTAGGTATGGGTGCGACATATGGCACGGCGAAGAGTGGTGTAGGTGTGGCATCTATGGGTGTGATGCGATCGGAGCTGGTGATGAAATCAATAGTTCCAGTTGTTATTGTAATGCCACGAATATTTTCATATAATAGAATTTAATGTTCGTATGCTATATTTTAATATTATGAAAGTTAGGAACTAAATGATACATTAATCTAAATATATTTTATTTGGGTCAAAAATCTAGATATTGATGGAGTTATCGAAAATATTTCAATATTGAT